ACCATAACCGTTTAGCACAGGTTTGGTCAAAGGATCGGCTTCACTTGTCTCTTTGACGAGTTTGTAACATCAATGGTAAAACTCACTGACGATGCCTACTACGATGCCGGCGAAACGTCTGGGAATGTACCGCGTCCACGGTCCGACTTTGAATATAAATATGCATACAATGGACTCAGGACAAGGTGCCTTCCTATTAGTCTTCCTACCAATATGACCAAGTTATGAAAACAAGGTCAAACAAGTTCAATGCCTAATAAGTTGAATAAAATGGTTATCGTCAGTATGAAAATAGTATGATGGTTTGTATTGCACCAGGGCGTAAAGTAAAATATTTCCAAAAAAATAACACAATAGCCTGAGTGAATTTTAGTAATCAAGCAATTAGTGTAAAAGATGACTGTTTATTAGGATGGCATCGAATTCTGAGCAATCTAAAGATCCCATAACTCTGCCGACGTTAACTAGCTCCACGAAAAGACTTTTCTCCGTATTCACCGTCGCAGTGTTTATCTTCTATTCTTTTTTGTAGTGATGAGGTCCGATCAGTCCCTAAATTCTTTCAAAATTGGATCTCGAGCAGATTTGTACAACAGTTTTCCCTACCTGGCAATCCTCATTCGGTTACCGGTGAGACCAAATCATGAATTGCTTCTGAGCAGTTTCTCCTTCGAAATGGAAAGTCATGCAAAGAGTAAGATCAGTGTTTATCCTATATTATTTTTTGTGGAGCTGAGGTCCAATCACTCCCTGAATTCTTTCACAATTGGATCTGGAGCAGATTTGTACAACAGTCTTCCCTACCTGGCAATCCTCATTCTGTTACCCGTGAGACCAAATCATGAATTGCTTCTAAGCAGTTTCTTCTTCAAAATGGAAAGTCATGTCACAATGAAGCAGTGATGTTTGAACTACACTGTTCAACCAGCTCTGAATAGTTCAATGAAATATGTCCCTAACGTTAGTTTAAATAAAAGCTCTGATAGATCCAGGAAATTTAGTTTCGAATAGGACAAGGACACTATTTTCTCGAGTGAAACGAAGCCAGTGGGCTAGCGAATGACTCGAATCCAGGATATAATAAAATAATTAATCCATTAGGGTCAAAAGGCCTCCTAAATTACTCACCAACGGTATGCATCTTGTTAATGAAGTCCGGTTCACCTTCTGTTTCCTCATCTTCGTCACAGGAAATACTACTCCAATTATCATCATCAGAGAATGAAGAATGAAAATAAGTACCAGCATAACAAGAGTTCGTATCATTGATTTTGCTAAGCTCTTTCTCCTCATCCTTATCATCTATACGGCTCTTTTCTTCCTCAAAAGTCCCCAATTTCTGCTTCATTAGTGTAGCTTCCTCTTTCAATTTATCTTTACCCTTTTCTGCATCCTTCCCTGGTTCAATATTTACCTCTATTTTTCTTCCTGGTCTCTCATTGCTTTTTTGATTAGTTTTATCCGTTTTTAGCTTCTCCTTGGCTGACTTGCAAGTCTGGGGACATTTCCTGAGTTGACTGCGTAAGAGTGTATTGCGCCTGTCCTGGTGTACACTCTCCGAGATTTCCTCCAACTCTCTCAACACCTCAGAATATCTAAAAAGCAGCCAAATGCATTAGGGTTAAGTATTTCCAGACAGTCATAAGATCTTAACTACGAGTCGCCTTAGGTCTATTAGGATAATGTAAGAATCGGTAGTTAAAGTTGCTACTCATTTGATAGATAAATTGTCATTTCGACATACCAAGCTCATTTATGTCTTAGTCGATAAAAGCGTCTGTTTTGCTAGCGATTTTTCACCCTAAAGAGCTTATAGCATCATGAAAACTGGGTTGTAAATAAATGAAAAGCAAGCAAGTATTATCCTTACTTTGGTTATGAGGATCTGCAGAAGAGGGGAATCTACATTTACGGTAAACGATCGCTTTAGTAAAATTGTTATAGATCAGAATATAAATCATGCCTAGTCAGGTGCTGCGACGTAATATACAGTAAACGACTCCTGATAAACTGAAGCGAACATTTAGTTTCTCCAGTGAAATTCACCCTTGGTATAGCGACTTGGCCGCAATATTAGTCAATGAATTGGTATATTCTACCCGGCCTCATCAGACCTAT